GGTTGCTTCATCAGGTACGGCGCCACTTTGACTTTTCTTGAATCGCTGAATCTGACAGTATAGTTTGCCACTATTTGTTCAAGGTAGGGTAAAAAGCAATAGTCCTAACTAATAACGCCTCATTATTATAAATAATTAACTTAAAAAATTCTCTTAATTTCCTTAAATTAATACTGTCTTTGATTCAAAATATAGGCTAAACTTTATCCATTATGTTTATTAAAAAACTAATTAAAATCAATTTAAAATGATAAATGTGTAAGGTATATATTTGACTTTTCTAATATACCCTTATCAATGAAGAAAATAGGTAAAAGATATAATAAATGAATTAAAGAAGAAAGAAAATATATGAGGGTAAAATTAAAAAAAAAAACTCATTCAATATTTGGACAAAAGTGAATTTTATTTTATAAAAAAAATTTTTTTTTAAAATTTTAACTTATATTTTATACCGAAGGGAATATCTAGCTATTATATTAAGAGGTTGAGTTACTACATTATTTTGCTTCCTTCGTCTCCACAAAAAGTCTATCCAATCAGAGAAATGACAAATATGACCCACTTTGAATGCTCTCAACAGTGATTGGGTTGAGAAGAGACTGATATCCCTTTAAGTAATTTTTATGTTTGGGTTTTACGAGTAGGGAAAGAAATGCAGAAGAGCAGCTCGAGTCAAATAGTACCTGGAATTTGAATTGCATAATTAGTTATTCAGGATATCAGTTGAGCACATACATGGGTGACACGCACAACACGCGTATTTTGGATGACTAGTTATGATGAAGTCTTTAATGATTGCAAGCAGGATTGTACCTTTTTCAGAATCCAAATTACCTAAAATTACGGTATTAAAACTCAACTTGGGTTGGCCGGTTGGACCAGTGAATTAGTCTGATCTGGTCAAGAGTTTTGAATAGGTTGACGGGTTGATTTTTATACATATTTTTTCTTTGCTAAGCTTGAAACCCCACTCTTCAGAGTTAATGCCTTGTCTATTTAAATATTACTCATTTACAGAGTTATACATATTATCTATATTTTAATTGTACATGTTATTTTAATAATTGGGTTGATTCCAATTTAATTACGGTTACACCATCGACTCTCTTGAGCTAATAAGTTTCCAGTACCTTGCCTAAAATTAATTAGAAACCTGATTTTTCATGCATCTTACGCAGGTACGAGAGCAGTAGCTTCTTTGACCAGTCAACAGACGCGGGCAACAACATTAATTGCGGGAATGAAACAAGAAACTCAACTGAACTTGCTTCAACTGTGCAACAAGTTCTGAGGAATCTGGAAATAGCCACACCAAGAATCCCAGGTTACTTTGCAGCCACCAAAACGACAGTACCTAACAGCAACGGCTCAAACATTTATGCCTTTGCTCAATGTGTTGAGACTCTCACACAAAGCGGTTGCGACAATTGCTTGAACATTGCCTTGAGAAATTTTCAGATTTGTCTCCCAAACTCAAATGCTAAGACTTTTGATTTCGGCTGCTTCATGAGATATTCCACCACTTCCTTCTTTGCTGACAATCAAACCACTAACATCAATCACTTCTTGAAACAAGGTGGATTATTACAGTAAACTTGAAATGGCCTCCATATATATTTTGCATTGGCTTTCGGTGAAAACTTAGTGGGTCAACATTTTTCTTGTGATTTGTAGGAGATTCAAGCAAGAAGAAGGCCGTTATTATTGGTGGAGTCGTTGGAGGAACATGTTTTATTTTGATTATACTAGCATTATTTGCTTTGTATATGCGATCAAAGTCATCGAAGATGGTTCCTAAAGGTAAGATAACCGAAAATGGTCTTTATTATTTAATTTGAAATTATTGATTTGACCCCATAAGCGGGACCACCACCCCATACCATGTTGCCGTCAGAAACAGAACCCCCTTCTATTTGATTGTATCGAAAGGGCCAATAAATTGGGATTTCCCTATTGGGCCAGGTCATTTCAGGGCAAGCGGATCATTTATCCTTGCATTAATTGCTTTGCATATGATTTGTTATTGGCTGCGCGAGATTTTTTTACTTTAATTTTATTTTCCTTGCAGGTGATATTTTGGGAGCAACTGAGTTAAAAGGCCCTGTTAACTATAGGTATAAAGATCTAAAGTCAGCGACAAAAAATTTCAGTGAAAAATATAAACTAGGAGAACAAGCCTTTGGTGATTTGTACAAGGTAGACCTCATAAAACTTTTCTTTTTTAATTATTACAGTTGATGTCATTATATCGGGAGACACTTGTTGGGCTTGTTGCATTGAGGTTGTTCTTTTTTTTCTTTTTTTCCCGGGTGAACACACATAGGCGTGCTATTGTTTGTCACACTCTGCCAAGATTTCATTAGTTCTTTAATATTTTTGTCCTCTCATATGTGAATCGGGCTCATAAAAAAAAAAAAAAAAGCGAAGGTTGATCTTTCACTAAAAGGTTATAGTTCATTTCAAAATTAATTTATTGTTAAACATCTGCACATTCTGAATGAAGATAAATAAAACTTTCTATAAGCATGTTCCCTTTTTCTTTTTGGTGAACTATAAGCATGTTCTTTAGTCTTAAGTATAATGTCTTTGTTGAACAGGGTACTTTGAAAAATGGAAAGGTAGTTGCTATCAAGAAATTGGATTTAAGCCAATCCGAACAGATGGAGAAAGATTTTGAGAGTGAAGTGAAGTTGATAAGTAATATTCATCATCGAAATATTGTTCGACTTTTGGGATGTTGCAATAAAGGCCAAGAGAGGCTTCTTGTTTACGAGTACATGAAAAACAACAATGTTGGCCAATTCTTATTTGGTACAGACAAAATCAATCTGTTAAATGAATATCTTATATTGTTTTGAGAATCAGCTTTAATTCTTCTATTCTTCTTTTATCCTTATTTCTTACACTGTAAAGTGATGAAAATAGGTGAGAATAAAGGCTCTCTGAGTTGGATGCAACGTTATGCGATAATTTTTGGCACTGCAAGAGGTTTGGCATATTTACATGAGGAATTCCATGTTTGTGTTATACATAGAGATATAAAAGCGAGCAACATCCTATTGGATGATGATTTTCAACCTAAAATTGCTGATTTTGGACTAGCAAGGCTTCTTCCAAGAGACCAATCTCATCTTAATACAAATTTTGTTGGAACAATGTAAGTGAATGCACATACAATTTATCCTATTTATTTACTTTTATTATTATTAGAAGAAATCATGCGTTGATGATAGAATGGAACATTGCTATCACACCTTTAGACACTTTTCATTATGCAATCAGTGATATGTTTTTTTTAGGGGATATGTGGCACCTGAGTATGCAATGCATGGACAATTATCAGAAAAGGTTGATACTTATAGCTATGGTGTTGTAATCCTAGAAATCATAAGTGGACAAAAAAGTAGTGCATTGAAGGTTGATGATGAAAGTGAATACCTCCTCCAAAGAGTAAGTAAATTCCTAGTAGTAAAAACATGACAATGGATTGCATTTCATTGAACAAATTTCAAGTGCTGGATTTAGTGGTCAGACAATTAACCCTTTTTTCATTATATATATGATCACTTTGATCCCAGGCTTGGAAACTTTATGAGAGAGGAATGCATATAGCATTTGTGGACAAAACCTTAGACCCAAACGAGTATGATGCGGAAGAAGTAAAGAAAATAATAGAAATTGGGCTACTTTGCACGCAAGCATCTCCTGCAGCAAGGCCAAGAATGTCTGAAGTTGTTAGAATGCTGAAAAGAAAGAGCTTAATGGAGCACAACCAGCCAACTATGCCTGTCTATGTTGATCCTACTTCTTGGCCCAAAAGAGACACTTCTGTCACTCACAGTTCGTCTTCATCAAATGCTGTTCTCTCTACTTCCATTTTATCAGGAAGGTGATTTGCTTCACACGCATGATCATACAATTAGCAACGGAAAAGTAAATAAAGTGTTCTTCTTCTTCTTCATTCCATTACTCAAGATTTGATTACAATGAAACGTCAACTTTGCAGTTAGCAATGTTTGTATGCAATGATGGCCACTTGGCCTATGGTGTAAGATAAATCAGTGCCTTTGAATTATGTGTACTCAAATTGGTAATCTTATCTACATTGAATATCTACATGTTAGCTTTTGCTTCAACACTTCTTGATATGATGCAGCTAGGCAGATAATATCTTCATTAACTACCGGCCATTCCTGAAGATTATTCTACCTAACACTCACTAGTCAATATGAACAGGTTTATATGAATATACTACCTACCTTCGACTTATAATATAAGAGCTAGTTAAATATTCAATTTAGTCCTAAGTATAAGACTTTAATTTATTTTGTCTCCAATATTTATCCATTCTGTCTCCAAGTAATTCTTATGACGATTACAACATGTTAGGAAATTTCTACTAAGGTTAGTTCTAATATTGATGATTAATAAGGATATTTTAGAAAAAATAACATCAATTTATTGTCAATAAATAACTTAACTAATTTTTTTTAATATTTGCAAATTACTTATCTTCTTTATATATTAAGGAACGGATGTAGCATATCATAGCTTAAAAGCATTATATCCCACATATATTTTACCATGTTGTATTTTATATGTTGCCCAGATACTGGGTCTTAGAATAACATTACTATCATTATCTTTTCGTTATATCGTAGTTCATTAAAATCTCAAAATTCTCCAACAACTTTTCAAGATAGAAGCATTCTTATATATATATATTTTTTTTGGGTTGGAATTCTTATATGTTAATGTTGAGCTTCACAGCAGGAGCCTCAAATATCAGAGTTCATATCTTACCACGGGAAGATTAGAGAAAATTTCTGGTTGGCTAACCAATTGTTCAACAATTAATTTATGTCAAGTGAAATCATATACGCAAGACATATAATATAATTGGTTTTATAAGTATACATGCATGCCTATCAAATTGTATATGTAATTATCAATCCACATACACTTATACAAGTTTGATATATAGTTACGCACAAGAATGGAATGAATTAAGGACAATCATTTCGAGACATCTTTGGCCTTATTTCTACAGATGCTTGTGAGTTTTTTGTTTTCTTTTGTCTTTTTTGAGTTCAAAACTTGAAGCCACACCTTCATATGTAGAGAAGGTACCAGAGGTTAAAATCCAAGTGTCTTCCATGTACCTTTAACCAATTTCAATCAAAATAGGCATAGTGGGTCTCATATCCTCTGATAAATCCTTTTGTTGGAGCAATGCAACTACTTCAGACATCTTTGGCCTTATTTCTACAGATGCTTGTGTGCAAAGTAAACCAATCTCTATTATTTTCTTCACTTCTTCTGCATCATAATCATTAGGGTCTAAGGTCTCATCCACCAATTCTAAATGTATGCCTCTCTTATACAAGTTCCAAGCCTGCCAAATGAGATAAAAGTGAAAAGGATCAAGAAATAGAGAAAAGATTGAGAAAAAAGAAACCTCAGGCTAATTAATTTCTTTTGAACATGTATTACCAAAATATAATGAACTAATAAAAAAGGAAAGGCTTTTCTTAAAAGAGTTAACATGAGTTGTAAAAAGAGTCCTACTTATAATTTTCTCCAAAAAAAAATGCTGCTTTGAACAATCATGAGAACTTACTTTTTGAAGGAGGAATCCGCCTTCATCAGCACCATCGGCATTAATTCATTGTTTCTTTTACCACTAACAATTTCTAGGATTATAACACCATAACTATATACATCAACTTTTTCTGATAGCTGTCCATGAATTGCATATTCAGGGGCTGTATATCCTCTGAAAATTACATAATATTTTTCAGCTAAAAGATCATAACAATGACTCATCAAAAAATACAAACGCAACTATTTGGAACAAAGAAAATGTGTATGAAAAAAGAACCAGCAAAATCTAAAATAGACATGAATGCAGACACAGTGCACATTACTACAAATTAAAAAAAAAAGAAAGAAAGAAGAAGCAATAACTACTACACCTATCTCCCTCTGGTTTACTAATCTTCTTCAACATCGTGGGTAATTGTAAGTTTTCCTCTACCATATTACATTTCTGAGGTTGTGGGTAAATGTATCATTGCGGTTGGGGAATCATGTATAAAAGAACTTAGGATATTAGAAATGGGTTCAAAAATTTGGTTCCTTTCCCTTGATTTTATAATTCAATAAGCAATTAATATAATAATATGTATTATCATTTCCTTGAAGAGTCCAGAACTTCAACAAAACTTAAGAAAATCACATAAATGAAGTTATTTCAACTTACAGTGTTCCTGCAAATCTTGTGTTAAGATGAGTCTTGTCCTCAGGTAAAAGTCTTGCTAAGCCAAAATCAGCAATTTTAGGTTGTAAATCATTATCCAAGAGGATGTTGTTAGTCTTTATGTCTCTATGTATAATACGAACATGAAATTCCTCGTGTAAATAAACCAAACCTCTTGCTGTTCCTAAAATTATATTATATCGTTGCTTCCAATCAAGAGAACCTTTATTTTTTCCTGGCAGAGAAAGAAAGAAAAGGTGAAACATCAAAACAATCTATTCACAAAATGTTTTAATAGGAAATTTACACACACAATGTATTGATTAAGTTCTTGAATAAAGTTATGACACAGGAATCCATTTTTGTTAATAGAGAAGCCAATGTTGATTTGTTGCGTTGTTAATTTGAAAATATCCTATATGCCATAATATTATTAAGAAATATAATAGCAATTGCATGAGCAACCATACAAGCTTTGTTGGTTAATAGAAGATACCAAATAAGAATCTGTCAAGACTGGTCTTTTCCATGTATTCATAAACCAGAATTCTCTGATTGCCTTGACTGCAACATCCAAGAAGCCGGACAAGATTCCGATGATGAACGTTACGTATAAGTTTCACTTCGCTCTCAAATTCTTCTTCTACCCTCTTGGATTGTCGTAAAGTTAATTTCTTCAGCGCAACTATTTTTCCATTCTTCAAGGTACCCTATTCATGATGATTAAGAGGTGTCAAATTAGAGGTTCTAACTTCGCTCTCAAATTCTTCTTCTACCCTCTTGGATTGTCGTAAAGTTAATTTCTTCAGCGCAACTATTTTTCCATTCTTCAAGGTACCCTATTCATGATGATTAAGAGGTGTCAAATTAGAGGTTCTATACCTTTGTCCTTTATTTTAAAAAAAGGTAATCTTTTACAACACTATGTAAAACTCAATTAGAAGAGACATGCTTGTACGCTTTCGGAACATGATCTATATCAAAATATTGATGAAAATCAAACTGTATAGTTACCTTATATACTGCACCAAATCCTCCTTCTCCAAGTTTATTTTCAATGCTGAAATTTTTTGTTGCAGACCTCAAATCCCCCTAATTGTAATTAACCGCGGCTTTCAACATGCTAATTCCAGTGATATCTCCTATTAAACACGACATTAGTCAATTCAACTTCTCATCATTATTTTTTGATTAAAAAAAAAAGCCAGAGATTTCCCCTTTCATAAAGATGAAATCCCATGACTTTTTATGCTGAGAAAAATCAAATTGGAGACCTTGTTTACCTCTGGGAACTCTTTTTTGGCTTTTTCGTGATCTAATCCACGCAAATAATGCAACAAGGAAGATAAAAAAAAGCACTAAACATCCAATAACAATGCCAATGATGGCCCCCTTATTGTTTGAACCTGCAGGGCAGGAAACTTTTCTAATCAAGCTCCAACGTACAACGATGCATTTGAAGTTTATGCAAATAACTCCCTATAATCATATATATAAATATATACATATATATTCATATGCTGGCCTGGGACTTAATTAAAATTTCATCTGTAAAAGCAAATATGTATATATACAACAATTATGCATTTGAAGATTATAACTTTACCTTGTTCTTGTTTCAAGAAGGGGTTGATATCAACGGTTTGATTAAGAGCAAAGAAGGCAGTGGTGGAGTATCTCACGAAACAGCCAATATCGTAACTCTTGGCATCTGTGTTGGTAAGGGAATTCTGAAAGTGGCTTAAAGCAATGTTAATACAAGTCTGGCACCCGTTTCGAGGGACAATGTCAACACATTGAGCCAAGCCATAAATATTCAGATCATTACTGTTAGGGACAGGCGTCTTGGTGGCCACATATGAACCAGGGATTCTTGGGGTTGCTATGCCTAGATTCCTTAGCACTTGTTGCACAGTTGAAGCAAGAGCCGGAGAATCTTTTATTGTCTGATTCCCACATACTACGTTGTTCCAACTATCGCTAGCCGAATCGAAGCTTTGACTGCTCTCATACCTTCATTTTAAACACACATCAAAGTAACAAATAAGTAAGTCTCTAAAAGATGTAAATTAGTTTGACCATCTCATTTCTACTCCCTCAGATCCTATTTAACTTGTGGTTTTGGGATAGGGTGGGTGCTTTTTATAATTTATACGTTTGTCTAAAATATAATTCATTTTTTAAATTAGACACTTAAAAAAACAGTAAATAAGCAACGGAGTAAAATTCCCTCGCCAATTTTCTTTTTCTTTTTAAGTGTCAAATAATTATTACCAGTTTTTCATTAAAAGTAAATGTAAAAAGTGGTTTCTTGAAATTTACTTGCACCCTACGGCTTTTAAAGAACTTTTTTTTTTTTTGGGCAAGAAACAGGGCAAAACACCCTGTAAACCTATGTTCATTAACAAAACAAAACGTGGGCAAAAAACACCCACTAAGTCTCACTAGTGGCGCCTCAAACCTGTACAATTCATTATCACAGGTTAGACTACGATTAGCTGAAAACATAAGCTACAAAATTGCCTTCCCTATAAGTACGGACAAAAATAATCTGAAAGTTCATGTTATATTCTGAGAAGTGCCAAGGCTTCATGCCTCCTGAAGTTTATTATAAATTGAAATGGATTTGTTTCTTTGAGAAGAACAATATAAATAATTTTTTAAAAAATATTCATGTATTGTAGAGAAATTTTATAACAAAAAAATATTTGACTTAGATTTCTACGTTTAATGATCATACAACGTAAGTTTAGTCACAAAAGAAATGTTACTTCATCATTAAAATTATAACACTCCCTTCGGTCTCTTTAATATAAAAAATACTTAATTAATTTGAGTTGGTTAAAAAGGTCTAATGAATTAGTTGATTATAACAAATGTGAGGTAATCTTCCCTAAAATATTTTTACAGCATTAAATTATATATCAATCTATAAGTTCTGTAAATTAGTTTAGCAAAAAATAATAAATATAAAAAATAAATTAGATTAAATTTTATATTTATAATCAAATTCAACCTTTATTTATTTAGCTTTTGGGACTGGAGGTAGTATTTGAAATTATTATTATTTTCATTTTATATCATTGTATATATTGCAATTACAGCATCATATATGCATCACAAAGAAATTACTTAGTTTCTTGTTTTCCCCTTTGTCTCTACTCTCTACCCTCTGCTGCTCTAACTTTTAACGCAAGCAGCGGCACCATAGTAATGTCACAACTCACAATATTTATTCCCAACCCCCCCCCCCCCAAAAAAAAAAACAGAGAGAGAGAAAAAAAGTACAACTCGAGGTTGGGGAACTAGCTAGTTGTACCCGAGGAAGCAGCCGTCGTAGACAAGACGGGCAGCGTATGCCCTGGCGGAGCAGTTGTGGATGTTTACGGCGGCGACGTCAAAGCAAGCGAGGCAATCGGCGACGGAGAGGTAGTTTCTGCACTGAAAAAGGGGGATGTTAGCCTCCACTGATTGAGCTCTAGCGAAGTGTTTGTTTTGGTTTTGGATCTGAGCTCTCAGATCTCCAAACTTTTTGTTAAGGATCTCCTTCATGATGGACCCATCGTTGTCGCCGTCTTGGGGGTCACACCATAGGACCTGTTTGGTTTGAGGGGAGGGTAGGGGAGGGAGGGGTAGGGAAGGAGAGGGGAAGTTTCATCCTTATCTTATTTGGTTTGATTAAAAAGGAGGGGAGGGTATTTAATGATCCCTTGTTTGGTTCAAGGAGGGAAGGAGAGGGATAGTAATAATCAATTTACCATTTTACCCTTACATATTAGTTTATGTTTTTTATTGATATATTATATAAATTAATTTACATCTTAATTTAAATCATATAATTTAATAAAAATTCAGTCTTATCATGTTAATATGTGTATTAAAAAATTAGTACAGTAATTTTTTATTCTAATTAATATAATAATATATTTAAAATAATCAAATTAACAAATTTTATATGCTCCAAGAAAAATGAAATTTTATTTTCTTTAGGCTATCTTTTTTTCCAGCTTTAAAATATATTTAATAAATAATATATTTATAAAAAACTATTAATTTTATAATATTATAATTTTTATTTAAATAATTTTTATTTTATAATATATTTTTAATTATAATAATGTATATTTTTTTTATTTTTTTACTTTGGATAATATATTTTTTATTTGAAATAAATATTATAATACTATATTTTATGGGTAGAAGTGGAATATTAAAAAAACTATAAGGGCATAATGGTCCAAAATTTTGGCTCCCTTCCAAAAACCCCCAATTTGGAGGGGAGCCAAAATGGGGGGAGGGAGGGGGGGGAGGGGACATTTTAGCTCCCCTCCCCTCCAAAATTTTTAACCAAATGAGGGGAGGAGCTCATTTCCCCTTCCCTCCCCTCCAACCAAACACACCCATAGTCGCACTAGATTCGTCTGAGGGTCCGAAACGACGCCGTCAAGAGCCCCCCATGACCAGATTATGAAGCTCAATAAGAAGAAGAACAGAGGCTTTTGTTGCAGTAGTTGAGGCTGCATGCTGTTTTTTCTCACCTTGCGGAAGCGATGAAGAATGAAAGATGAATGCATTGGCGGAACTAGGATGAGATCAGAAGATGAGGGGCCCAAAATATTTTGTAAAACAATGAAAATATAATCTTATATATATAATTATAATTATAATTTTGAATTTTTAGGTATGGTATTTATCACCAATAATTTTTTAAGGCAATTTTGTAATATATAGGAGAGTAAGTTGGTCAATATATATCAATGAGAATATATACTTATATACTAACCACATAAAATTTTTTAACAAAATATTAGAAAGAATACAGGAAAGTTTTTAGTTTTTAAATGCTTGGGAAGTATTGGATTGTAGGCTAACAATTTTGTACCGCGTTTATGAACAGTATGACTTTCTATAGAATTTCCTATATATATATTAATGATATTATCTGGGGAAAATAATGCTACAGATACATATATAAATAATACTAATAATAGTAAAGGTTTTGAGATATATGATTTTTATTAAAAATTTATACAATATATATTTCTACATAATGTAGAATAAAACTCTACATATTCACAATCCTTATACATGTTTGCCTAATTCCAAGTAATAAGTAATTCCTTATACTAAACAATTTTTTAGTATATTTTTTCAATCTTAATCGTAATTATTATCTCTCGTTTTCAATGCTTCATACTAAATAGAACATAAATGTAGGTATCTTTCTCAGTAGAGATTCAAGTCTTGATTCGCTATGTCATGATAAATTAGCTCCTCACGATACTAGTTATAATAATAAGAGACAAGTTCGCATAGTTAAGGGAGAAAAATATGAAATGTCCAGAAGCATATAACTAATAGGTTGTAGCTTGCAGGAATGAGATACAACTACCTAACTGCCTACGGCAACAACTTGACAGTGACAAAAATTCGCTGCTAAAAATTTTCAGTGACGGTTTTTTAATTTTTAGCAGTGACTTTTGTTACTATTGAAAGTCAATTTTTTTTTGTAGCCCAATATCAAATAATGCCATCATTTTTCCAATTAGTGACATGGAAGACTATTTATTAGCACTTCATATTTGAACTATGACACGAAAGACCGCACGCCTAATAATTATTCTTGCGGACTTGTTGTAAGAAATGTCCAAGTCTACTTCCAACTAGTCTTCCAAAGATAATTCTGAAGACGACCGGACTGAAAATGGGATGGACCTAAAATTTTTTTCCTTTCAAAATCTCATCTTGGTTCCAAAGATAGCTAAGAAGATGAGATTGAAAAACAAGGGGAGACGAATAATTGAGGCATCTTGGAACAATGATAATGACGCATGTTTTGTCATTTTTCTCTAGCATGGCCACAGATAATAAGGACATTTCTTGCTGGGGCGACGCGTGATGAAGGCATCTTAGAAATTTCCATGAATGGTATGACCCGCCAGAGATTGAAAAATGACACCAATTATGAGAATTCGCACACATGAAAAGGACTCCTAATTATGACTTAATCGCTTCCTACAGTCATCCATCGAATCTCACATGCCTACAAAGATACTGGCTTTACATGCTAATTGCATATCTCTTTACTCTCTTCAGATGTTAATTAGGTTTGGATTAGTTTTTTAAAAATAATTTTACGATATACAAGATAATTATATAAAAAAAAATTTATTGGCTTGTACTTTTTTCAATTGATATTGAAGGATGCCAAAACACCCCCTTAGAACAATCCTCCCTCTATCCTATATTAATTTTTTTTTTTTTTGAGAATGAACATGTTCTTGTTTATAAGATACTATAATAACCTATTTAAGTATTGTTTTTTGAATTTTTGCCTCACTAATTATTGATTAGTCTCTACTTCTCAGATCGCATCTTATTAGTCTATCCGTAATAGGGCTTCTTTTTAGAAAGCATATTCATTACTTTTAATTAATTTCAACTAATTTTTTTATATTTATAAATTGATTATTTGTATTTTATTATTAAAAGAACTAGGTTTAATATGTTATATAATTCACACACTAATTATTGTTCTCTTAAAAAGGAAAAATGGAGAATTCACATGATGGTCCTTTGGCTATTGCCTAAGTTTTCCCGTTTTTCAAAAGGCAAGGGGACAAAACTTACCGAGTAAAGTGACGAAGATTTTTGTGGGATAGACTGGCTTATTAACTATGCTTTTATTTCTTGATACAAAAATCAGGGCTATTTATGTGGACCACAAAATATGCCCAATTCTCATTATTTGGATTAATTTTTAAAAGAAAAAAGAAGACCCAAAAAAAAGTTAGGGGATGCAAATTAAAAGGGTGGGAGATCGAAGAAATTTATGCATCCCTAATAAGCCTAGATATATATAGGATTTAGATTAGATTCCGCATGGTTCATGCAGCTTTTTAATATTAATTTATTGAAAAGTACTTTTATTATTTGTTTTAACATCATACAAACTCGTTTAAATTGCTATTTGTTTTTTTTTTATCCCCGATGAAATTAAATTGCTATTTGTTCAGCGCAGCTTAAAAACTCTGCAAATGAGCATTATATGGTAGATTTGTCTGTATAATTTCATTTGTTTCTTTCATTTAATGTGTATTTAATCCACGTATGCAAAAAAAAATATTTATATAATACTTAAAGTAAGCAAGAGTATTATATGATGTCCAGTAGGTAAGTTCAAAAGCATATAAAGTAAAGTCCTGTTTGGTATGATGATAAAAATGATTTATAAGCACGTTTTATATAAATCAGAATAAAATTTCTCTCATATATTTACTTCATATCATGTGAATCACGATTGAAAAATTAATTATAAGTGATTCTAGATGAATTCTAAGTTGATAAGTATGCTAAAAAAACTCCCTTTATCATTAATTGTGCTTTTTGAACCCACTCTTATGCCAGCAACTAGAATAAACATAGAAGATAAAAGCTTTTATTAGAGAAACGAGATTTTTAGGATCAAAATAAAATCACCAAGTAAGGGTTATATTTAATAGAGGCCAGGGGAGTAAAAATCAATGACAATTGAACTTCTATATCAGAAATTTGAAGTGACCTTGAAGCACCACGCTGGCTTACACTTTTCAAAGAGATCTCCGCCTTCATTCTTCATTCTCTCTGTCTCTCTCTCTCTCTACACTCTGCAAGGAATAAGACTAAAACACCATGCTCCTGCTAAACCTGCAACAAAATCCCTTGTCCTTCATCTTCTTGTTGAGCTTCACAATCTGGACATGGTGGACTCTTGACGGCGTCGTTTCAGAGCCACAGCTCAGTTATGTGAAATCAGGCTGCAGCAGCTATAATGTCAGTGACGTGGCCATCTTCAACAAGAACCTAAACGCGTCGATGCGAAGCCTGAGAGCGCAGGTCAGCAACCAGAGCAAACACTCCGCGGTGGCGCAGGCAGTGAAGGGTAACAATCCGGCGTACGGCGTTTTTCAGTGCAGAAACTACCTTTCCATCAAAGACTGCCTCGCTTGCTTCGACTTCGCCGCCGTTCATATATACGACAACTGCTCCGTCTCCGCCACTGGTGCCCGGGTCATATACGAAGGTTGCTTCCTCAGGTATCCGACCAACTTTGACCTTTTTTTTTTTTTTTAAAAAAGATAAACATGTTGTTTTTAATATTCTTTTGTACTAGCCGGTTCTAATTATAAGCTCTCGTTATTAAATCAAGAGTTTCGCTGAATTTAAAGAATAAGACCCATAATTGTATAATGTACAAGAGAGGCAAAATTGCACTTCTTTTCTTTGTTGGATAAGGTTTTGTTTGGGCCTTTTTAATTTTATAAAATGGTTTTTTAACCGTTGTCAACAAAATATGCCGACTTTAAAAAAACATGCTCACATGGAAATTTTAAATTTTAACAAAGTATTCTAAGTAGGAAAAACTATTTTGAAGATAATTATAGTTTCTCTTAACTTTTAATTTGTTATCTATGTTTTTTTTTCCTGTTAGTACCGTTAATCCTTATCCAAAAGCTAATTATACCAACAGAATAAAATACAAAGACACCAAAATTAGAAATTAAAGCAAATTTTAGGCACCTACAAGATGATTTTCCTTTTTCAATAACAATAATTGGTAAAAAAAATCATGATTTGAAGTTAATGATTTTTAAATCATGATTTTTTTAAAAAATACTATTAAAATCAGGAGTTTATGCCAAAATGTTACTCTCTCCCGCTCCTTTTAATAAGATTATCAAATTTGAATTGGCTTGGTTTTTTCATAAGATGTAACTAAAAGGTATTTAAACATTAAATGTATTTTTACCAATTTCACTCTTTAATTTTTTTTAATTAATTCTTATCATCTTTTTCTCATGCTATTTTTTTAGTGTTTTATTTTATTACCGGTATTTCTCTCATTTATTTTCCTCCTTATTAAATAATAACTTACTTAAAAAAATGTATTATTGCCCTAATTTATTTTAACTTTTTTAAAATAATTAATTTAGTTAAAAGAATTAGGGTTAATATAATCTTTGGTCCTTTAACTTTACTCTCATTTTAGTTTTAGTCCTTCAAATTTCAAACCATAGGTTTTGATTCCTTGGGGGTAAAATGGTCTAAATTTTTATTAGATTATAGAGATCAATGTTTTAAATGAGAATAAACTTGAAGAACCAAAATCTATGATTTAAAATTTAAAGGATTAAAACCTAAATGAGATTAAACTTAAGAGATCAAAGTTTGTATTAATCCAAAAAGATTTTATAAAAAGTTACGGGAGAAGGAGTATACGAAATTACAACATGAACATACATTTTTGGCCATTAAGATATACAAGTCATTAAATTTCTGAGGCTTTAGCCTTTGTTTGCACAAAAAATTGTTGAAACTTGAAACTTGAAAGACAAACCGGAAACGCAACTAAAATTCAAAGCGAGATTCACTCCAAAAAGATGTGTGAAAATAATTTTGTTTAACTGGGTTTAACACAATATTTGACATGTCCATTTCATTTTAATTTTAATCCTTCTAATATTAATCTCTATATTTTAATAAAAATTTAGATTAATTTATTTTTTGAGAGATCAAAACTCATAATTTTAAAACTTAAAGGTTTAAAATCAAAACATAAATAAACTTGATGTATAAAAATTATAGGGTTAACATAATCTTTAATCCCTCAAGTTTGTTTTTATTTTTATTTTGGTCATTTAAATTTTAAACTATAGATTTTGGCTATTTAAGAAACAAAATGATCCAAATTTTTATTAGATTATAAATATCAATATTTTAAATAAAATAAAACTTAAGAAATAAAATTTATTATTTAAAACTTGAGAAACTAGAATCAATAGTACATCTAAGAGAATAAAAACTATATTAAATCTTAATTATGTTAACTCCTTTTATTAATCATTTTCTTTTCCAAAGACGAATGGGCCCCGATTGCAGGGAGTTCTCTCCACTGCTCTCAATCTCTCTTCCCAGTCACCGTCGCATGTCTCCACTTTACCGTCACACTCGTCACAGTCGCTTGCCCAACGCCGTTTCTGCGACCGCCGCTTATCCTCCTGCCTTTTCGGCTATCTCGTTCTTGCTCTGAAAGAGGATGACAGAGTGATAACCCAGAGCATGCACAACGACGGCGATGAATTTTGCTTCTTCGTTGATGAATTTTGTTCGTGTTTATGCTCTGAAATTTCCGCACTTGCTTTTGCTCTGAAACTCTGCAGAAATTTTCTGAAATTTACCTCAAATCATGCTGAGCGATGACGACGAAGTCTTGCTGTATTTTTATTGTTCCATGCGATCTTTGGTTCTGCATTTCTTGTTGTTCGGGTTTGTGACAGAGAAATTTGCTACCAAGAAGAGCATGACGAAGAAGCTTCAGAGTTCGGACTTTTTTGGCCGTTGCTCACCCATGGCCATGGGAGAAGACCTTAAGCTCCGATGATTCTGGGTTGATGAATCATGGAGTTAACAACTTTCTTGTTGCCGTGCTTTGTCGTCATTTTGCTTAAAATCCTTGGTTGCTCTGCTTTTCTTTATGGGCTAAAGACAATCTTTTCAACTGTCCTCAGTGACACCTCTGTCGATTTTCTTCGAACCCCTCCAAGCGGGTATATTAATTCTAAACACATAAAACCCTTCAACTGATTGAAAAGTGTTCCACAGTAGAGACAACTGCACAGTTTGCAACACCATAAAATGATAAAACAATCACATCACTAACATCTCAGGTAACCGATGTCCCTTAATGTGGTCATAAAAGTGACATTTTTTAGAATCATAAAGATGGCACATTTTTGTGTGTTTTTCAAGGTATGAGAGCAGTATTTTCTTCGACCAGTCCACAGATGGTGGGAACCACATTGTGTGTGGGAATCCTGTGGCTAAAAACTCCACAGAACTTGCTTCAACTGTGCAACAAGTGCTAAAGAATCTGGTAGAAGCAACACCAAGAATACCTGGTTTCTTTGCAGCCACTATAACGCCAGTACCCGACAGTAAGGGTTCAAATATTTATGCCTTTGCTCAATGTCTCGAGACTGTCACTCAAAGTGGCTGCCAGGATTGCTTGGAGTCTGGCTTAAGAAATTTTCAGATTTGTATTCCCAACTCAAATGCTAAGATTTTTTATGCTGGTTGCTTCATGAGATACTCCACCTCTGCATTTTTTACTGCTAATCAGACCACTGATATCAAACGCATCTTGAAACAAGGTAAAGTTCTAAACTTTAAACTCCTGAATGACTATGTGCACTGCATGCCAAGAAACAATTGACATGAGCAAACAATTAAACTTCAAACAATTGTGACTCGTAGGAGATTCAAGCAAGAAGACCATTATTGGTGGGGTCGTTGGAGGTGCATCTTTTATTTTGATTCTTCTTGCATTATTTGCTTTGTATAGACGATCATTGTTCAAGAGAGTTCATAGAGGTAAGATAACTAGAAAAATCTTTATTATTCAATTTGAAATGATTCATTGTGATGCTCTAGTTTTAACTTTTTCCTGCCAAAGGAATGTGAGGGTTTTAATTTGATAGGGATGAACCCCTAACTACTTCTAATTGTGGTTTTTCTTGCAGTTGACATTTTGGGAGCAACTGAGTTGAAAGGCCCGGTTAACTACAGGTATAAAGATCTGAAGTCTGCAACAAAAAATTTCAGTGAAGAGAATAAATTAGGAGAAGGAGGTTTTGGTGATGTATACAAGGTAAACCCCCCCCCCCCCCAAAAAAAAACTCAAACAAACAGTCATTTGTATTATTACAGTCCATATCTTTTTTCAAGAGACACTTTTGTATAGAGGCTTTTTTTTATAAATTCAATTTAGGTACACTTGTTAATGTAATATTTGTCTGCCAGATATATAGAAAGTACAATGTATTTCTTAGATTCCATGAAATACACAGGAAAATGTGTCTAATTCTTAATAAAAGGATGGCACTTCCCTCAAGCACAGTCTATAGTCTGGAAATATGATCTCTTCATTGAACAGGGTACTCTGAAAAATGGAGAAGTAATTGCCATAAAGAAATTGGCTCTAGAGCAATCCAAAAAGATGGATGAAGATTTTGAAAGTGAAGTGAAGCTAATAAGTAATGTTCATCATCGAAATCTTGTTCGACTTCTTGGATGTTGCAGTAAAGGCCAAGAGAGATTCCTTGTCTATGAGTACATGAAGAACAACAATGTTGGCCAGTTCTTATTTGGTATATTCAATTTAGTACTTGAAGAAATTTCCTTTGTAGTTGAAAATCATCTGCTTTCTCTATTTTTATGTTTTTTTGTCCCCTTTCCCTTACTATCTAAAGTGCTGGAAATAGGTGGAGATAGAGGTTCTCTCAATTGGAAGCAACGTTATGGTATAATTTTAGGCACTGCAAGGGGTTTGGCATATCTTCATGAGGGATTCCACATTTGCATCGTACATAGGGATATAAAGCCCAGCAACATCCTCTTGGATGATGATTTCCAGCCTAAAATTGCAGATTTTGGATTGGCAAGGCTTTTGCCAAGGGACCAATCTCATCTCAATACAAAATTTGCAGGAACAATGTAAGTAATAACATTTGTAATTATTCATATTTTCTGCACTCTGTATATCATATTGACACAAATGATTGTAACAACTCATTTGTTGAAACGCAACATACTTTAGCAACTAGATCTTTTCTCAAATGTTTAGTTGTTTCTACAAAGCATGAAGACTTGTGTATGTTTATGACTCACTAGAAATATGATACAACACTTTTAAGTTGCACATGAATATTTGAAATTTGTTTTTATCATTGGCCGTGTAAGTTTCCGTGTCTTGTTGCGTCTCGTGTCTTACATATGGTGAGTTTTTGATCTTTTGCTTTTGTTATATAGGGGATACACCGCACCTGAGTATGTAATGCATGGACAATTATCTGAGAAGGTTGACACCTATTGCTATGGTGTTGTAGTGTTAGAAATTATAAGTGGGCAAAAGAGTGGTGAATTAAAGAATGATGATCAAGGCGAATTCCTTCTTCAAAGAGTAAGCGAATTCTCAAAACTGATATACCAAAGGAGAGGGTTTTATTTGGAGAAGTTACAAATGCAGATTTAACTAATCAAATTATTTTCAATATAGCGTGACAAACGATGATTTTTGACTGCTCAACACCACACAATCTTTTTTCCTCTATCTTGTATGACTTTGATGCCCCTCGGCAGGCTTGGAAACTGTACGAGAGAGGAATGCACATGGAGTTTGTGGATGAAACCTTAGATCCAAATGAGTATGATGCAGAAGAAGTAAAGAAAATCATAGAGATTGGATTGCTTTGCACGCAAGCATCTCCTGCAGCAAGGCCAACAATGTTTGAAGTTGTTGATATGATCGAAAGCAAAGGTGGCTTAATAGATCACAAGCGACCCACTATGCCTGTTTATGTTGATTCTAATGTGGGGATTAGAAGAGATGGTTAGTAATAGTTCATCTCGATCAAATGCTACTGTCTCCACTTCTATTCCATCAGGAAGGCGATACGAGTTTGAACCCCCAGAAAATAATAATAATAATAATAATAATATTGAAGAAGGAAAAAACTGGAGTAAGCATTCGCCTTGATTACATTACTGAAGATTTGAGTACAATGAAACATTGAAACATGAATTGTGCAATATAATTTGGGTAGTTTGTCATTGCCACGACTATGTTGTTGTAACATAGCTATCCTTGTTCAGCAAGTCTAGTTGGGTGTCTTCATCTTTTGCTGTATAAATGTGAATTAAAATGGTTACCCATAATCAGGTCAAACAAATATACATTATCACCAGAACATAGCATAAAAGCAGAGAAGGAAAATGTCATATCTTGTCTGAGACATCGATGGAAGAATTTCATACACAGAACTGCACACAAGAGATGGTGATCAAACCCACCCAAAAAAGGGTTCCCCTGAAATATGGAAACACAGAATAAATGAGGAAGATAATTTCAGAGTTATAGAAAACATTCAAAAGAATAACCCTATTATAGGTGCTTGATTACGGGAAAGTAGTTTCTGCAAAGATCTTCAGGCAGAGATGGTATACCAACTTAATTGATCATTTGGGTTTTTCAAATGGCACTAAGTTTTACTTATATTCTACTATTGCTATAAAGGGACCATGCACTCACTTAGTTGAACTAGCAGTAGCTGATTGAGAGATCGTTTCAGGTTAATTAATATAACTGCAGGAGGTTAAGAGCTACATGGATCAAATTTATGTCGCTTGCCCAAGCCATTTTTTTAACATTCTTTTTCATGAGAGTACGTCTCATCTTGGGTAACCACAGCCTCTTAAAGCAGCAAAAATTTGTTTAAGAAATTTAAACATAAAAATTTAATTCTTGATGTTACTTTTAAAATAAAAATTTCAATTTTACTGCTATTAAGAACTAACATAATATCATATAATTTAAGCTTTAAATATTATCTCTGGTTCTAAATATAAAAGCTAATTTACATTACAAATTAGTTCTTATATTTAGGACTGGAGATAGTAATTTAATTAATCATTTGAATTATATCTCTTTTGAGTATGTCTCTATTGTCCCCTTTTGTTGGATCAACAAAATTGGAATATGCAGAATCATTTATCGAGTCCATCCCATGCAGGCCTCAGTCTCATTAAACAAACTGATCAGCATAAAAGCATCTAAATACTATCCCATGTAATCTCAGTGTGCCTCCACAGCCAGCCTTCCCATTGTTCACCATTCCCAGAGATTTGTGGAGAAAAAAATTATCTGCTAAACAAGGCTTCATAAGCTTTCTTCACATACTGTAGGCAAACTTAAGAGACAGCATGTCATACTTTTCCATCTTCCACTTAACAGTACCTGCCCCCCAGAAAGAACCACCCTCTCAGTACCTTCCATAACTTGGTCCCAATTATTTTTTATGCCCATCCATTGCCGGGAACCTAAGCCAGGTCCTATATTTGGGATCACATCCCTATCTGCATTAAACATATAGCTGTAGTCTGCATTAGTTTACTTAGGTGCATAATCATAACAAATTTGCATTTAGAGTATGCTTGCATCATTCTAGAGTAGCGGTACTGTATTTGCATATAAATAACTAGGTCCATTTTGCAATTAGAATTCCAAAATTGCTCCCTAGGAGAATGATTTAGGTTGCCACTATATTGTATTTATAGTTGGATCTAGAAGTAATTGGTAGCCGATGCGACTAAGACTACTCTCATCAGCCATTTAGAAAAAACATTCTTGTAAAATACAATTATCTTGTTGATGGTATTAAAAAGTAAAAGCAACATCATTGGATGGAAGCAGTAGGGATGGAGGTGTCTTCCATGAAGCTCTAATTAGGTTCAATCAAGATAGGCATAGTCGGCCTCATATTCTCTAATAAACCCTTCTTCTGAAGCAAAACCACTATTTCAGATATTGCCGGTCTTGTTTCTGCAGATGCTTGAGTGCATAGCAAACCGATTTTTGTAATTTTCTTCACTTCTTCTGCATCCTAATCATGAGTGTCTAAGGCATTGTCCACCAACTCTAGATGCATGCCTCTCATATAGTTTCCAAGCCTATCAAGTAGGATGAAAGTGAAACGAAATATAAGTATTTATCATAAGATTATTTTCTCTCATAAAGTAAGAGCTTTTTCGAAAGAATTTTATATGTCCTGTTAAAAAATTCAACATCTAAGTCTTTTTTCCCCCCAAAATAAAGAAAAGCTTTTTCAAATAGTTATGTGAATTTTCTCACTTTTTGGAGGAGGAATTCGCCTTCAGCATCACCATCAACTTTCACTTCATTGCTTTTTTGACCTCTAATGATTTCTAAGACAACAACACCATAACTATAAATATCAGCCTTTTCTGATAGTTGTCCATGAATTGCATATTCTGGTGCTGTGTATCCTCTATCAATCATATATTATTTATGATGCAATTAATTAGAATAATAGCTCAAACTAAAACACATACGTATCAAGATGCTACAAAATCCAAAATTAGACATGCAATAAAAGTATTGTCTCATCATCTTCGACATAAGTATGAATTCCTTCTTGCATAATCATGTATAGTCCATGTAATAGGATTGTTTGCTAGACTAATGTATAGATTTCATTAACACCTTCAACAATCCATTTAGTATGATAAAAATTAATAGAATTGAAAATTAACTTGAGCTAAGAAGTTATTTCAATCAACTTACAATGTTCCTGCAAATTTTGTACTAAGATGAGTTCTATCCTCAGGTATAAGCCTTGCCAACCCAAAATCAGCAATTCTTGGTTGTAGATCATCATCTAACAGAATGTTATTTGTCTTTATATCTCTATGAATAATGCGAATATGAAATTCTTCATGAAGATAAGTCAAGCCTCTTGCTATTCCTAAAATTACTTCATATGATTGCTTCTAATTGAGAGAACCTTTCCTTTCACCTATTTCCCAGGTTTGCAAAATTTGAAAGGTGAGGAAAAAGAACGAAGGGCGAAACATAACAATGTCCTTTCAATATCTATGTGCCAATCAAATTATCTAATAAAACTATGACATATGAGCACATTTTTCGTAACGAGTGAATGAAATGTTGTCATGTTGAAAATATGTCCACATCTCATAATGCTTAAGAGATTGTGCATAAGCTTTGTTAATTGAAATAACATACCAAATAAGAATCTGTCAAGACTGTTGTTTTCCATGTATTCGTAAACAAGGATTCTATTGTGACCTTTGCTACAAGATTCCGATGATGAACATTACTTATCAGCATCACTTCACTCTCAAAATCTTCATCGATCCTATTGGAGGCTCGTAAAGCTAATTTCTTTACTGCAACTACTTTCCCATTCCCCAAAATGCCCTAATCATAATTGAGAATTTTAAACATGAGATTGTTATCAGACTATCTTTCAAAAATAATATATAAACCACGCTTAAAGATATCCTTACATTGAAACTCATAATAAAGTTGTACCTTGTATACAACACCAAATCCACCTTCTCCCATTTTATTTTCGTCACTAAAATTCTTAGTTGCAGACTTTAAATCCTTATAACTAAAAGTTATTGAGCCTTTCAACTTACTCGCTCCAGGCATCTCTCCTGCCATGGAAAACAAAAATCAAACCTTTTGTTCATAAATTAAAATAACTAGCAGTTGAAGATTTTGTTCATTTTCCAAATTGATAAAATAGTAGCCTCACAATTTTTAATTTGTTTACCTCTAGGAACCCTCTTTGGGCTTTTAGTTCGTCTCATCCAAGCAAATAATGCAACGAGGACCAAAGCAAGAGCAGCACCTGAAACAACTCCAGCAGGAATGGCCCCCTTGTTACTTGAACCTACGAACAAAGATTTGTACAAATAAATATACACATAAATGAGTGATACATGTAATTTCAAATAATACGAAGTTATTTTGAAACGTATCATGCTCTAAAGTATAAAATTAAAATGTCAATAATAATACTTAATCAAATCATTCTATATAACCTAAATAAACATTCAAACTAAGGATTCATATAAATTTTCAAATTGAAAATTTACTCCTCCTGCATATCCTAAATGTAGGAATTAGTTGGAGAGTGGATTTTGATCATAAATATAATGCTTTAATCCATTTTACATATCATATTTATCATGCTTAATTTTTTCCAAACTAATTTATCGGACTTATAAACTGGTGACAAAGAATATAAATGAAGCCTTACCTTGTTTGAAGGCAGGTATGATATCAGTAGTCTGGTTATCAGGAAAAAAGGAAGTTGTGGAGTATCTCATGAAACACCCATCGGCAAAAGCCCTACCATCTGAGTAGGAAAGACAAGTCTTTATATTGTTGTATCCAGCATTCAAGCAACTGAGGCACTCATTTTGTGTTATGGTTTCAATACATTGGGCAAAGGCATAAATAGTTGGACCGACGTTAGACACTCTCATCTTCATGGCTGCAAAAGATCCTCTGATATTTGGTGTTACTGTTTGAAGATTCATCAGCAATTGTTGTGCAACTGATGTGAATGTTGTGGCTCCATCGTCATCTTCAGTCTGATTACCACAATCTGCTGTGTTGAAAGTTTGTGTTGTCTCATCAAGGAAAGCACTGCTAATGTCGAACCTGAACACGCCAGAGTCTACCATATCATCTTTTTTTTTTTTTTCAAGTTTATAATATGTACAGATCAGAAAGCTAGTGAAAAGGAGAGTTTTATAGGGAAATTGAGAAATGCTTCTCATTTACCTGATGGAGTGTTTAGTACATGACATAAACTTATAGTCTTTAACCTTTATACTTATGAAGAATAATGTCTTTCTTCTTTATGTCATTAACATTCACATATTATTATGATATAATCCCTCCTGTCCATTTTACAAAGTATTCGGATAAGTTTTTTTTTTTTTTTGGTCTTTTTATAAGGCAATATATGGAACATTTATTGCATCTTTACAACATTGCAATATTGGATTAACTTTTTTAATTTTGTGGAGTTCAAGGTAAATATGTTAGAAAACTTATCTCGACTTACGTCAAAGTATTTTTTTTTTAAAAAAAAGATAATAAAATACCTTGAAAATTGTTAAATGACAAATTAGTATGGTTGAATTTCATAATTCCAATTCAAACCCCTTGTATTATTTTAGAATTTTCAAGTCTGCCAAAATTATGCAAATGCCCTTCACTATTTATT